TGTCAGCTTGATGGGCCGTGTCCTGTCTATTCTTTTGTTGATGGGCGCCGGCTAGGATCGTTATCCTTTGAGTGGGAATTCGTGGCTAGATCTGGGAAGGGCTTGTGTGTCATACTGTACTTTATATTTTATTTCGTTATTGTTATATACATTTATTTAGATTTTTACGAATTTTTACAAGTTCATTTCTCACATTGTCATCTTTTTATAAAAGTTGTATCTCCATACCACCAAAAGTCAAAATTTCAGCTTCAGCATTGTAAGGTACTTCCTGGCTCTTGTCACTGTTGTACTGGAATATCCAGATCATCTAGGGGTATGAAAAAAAACAATTAACAATGCTCTAAACAATGGAAGTTTATTATTAGATGACCTTTTTATTGTTGTGAATCATTAATTCTGTTTATAGATTAAATTGTTTGCATTAGTCACTTAAACTCCACTGTTGCTAGCATCTATGGCAGAGTGTTTTGTTTGTGAAGTGTTGATCTTTTTGGAAACACTATCTTTGACTGGGAGTCCAGCAGATTATTCAGCAGGAGATTTAATTACAAAAAGATCAAGGCTCACAAGCCATGTCCTTATTTCTACCCAAACTTTAATAAATATGGAGTACACACGAAGGAATAATCAAGGTTGTGTCTTCAGCTGCATGATGTCCTGAAAATCTCCCTTCAAGTGATGTGTGTGGCTTCTGATTTCAGCCTCTGGTGGCTGTGAGGTCTCTATAGAATTATTGATCATTTTTGTAACTCAGTCGTATCTCCTACATCTCTGAAATCAATGTTGGTTTGGGGCTTTGATTTTAGAAAAGTGACCTGAGAGCAGTGTTTGGGTATGGATGTTTTGGAAAAGCACTGGGGTGACATGCAGGGAATACATTGGGAAACATTAAGCTCATCTACTCTTGATTGCAGCCAAGGTTACAACCTTAGATCTGCCTTTAAGACGGGAATGTTTTTTCATGGTGATAATGATCAGTGGGTGTGAAATGGAAAAGATTAGCAGCTGGAGAAGCATGATGTATTGCTGCAAACTTTTTTTCCTTTTTCTTTTTAGATTAAAAGGAACAAACTTGTTTTAAATCACAGCACTCCTCCTCTGCATGGTTTGTCTAAGGTGTGCCCATGTTATTTGGAGTGACAAACCCAAATGTGTCATAACTGGTGATTGCATGAGAGGGCAAACACTTAATTGATAAAAATGCTGCCATTGACTTTGGTCT